ATTCCCGACGGCAGTATCATTCGTAATGTCAGCTCAAATATTAAAGGCCCTTAAAGGCAAACGGACGACAGTAAAGGCACAGTGCACACGCACGCGAAACGCGATAGATGCGATAAATCCGCAAACGGTAGATATTACATACGTGAAACAACGGAAAGAAAAATTTGTTGAATATTGGAATCTATTCAATGAGATTCAAGGGCAAATCGACGAGCTTTTAGCAACTGCTGTAGATTTGGAAAATGTAGAAGAGCTTAGAACCGAACAAGAAACAGAATACATAAACTTGGAAGAAAATTATTTTTGTATTGCCGGTAAAATAGAACGCTTATTATCACTCGATTACGAGCCGGTCGACGGAAAGAAAGCGCGAGCAAGGCGCAATGGCGAGCAAGCACCAATTGCTGAAGGCACTGTACGCGATATTAGTCAAATTCATTTACCGAAAATTGTCATACCAAAATTTAACGGAAATTATGAAGACTGGTATCCGTTTTACAATACTTTCGAGTCCATGATACATGCAAATACGAGATTAACAAATATCCAACGGTTTCACTATTTGATTTCATCTCTCGAGGGCGATGCCGCACACATTATTAAATCACTAGAAATCACTCCCGATAACTATGTTGAGGCATTAGATTTATTAAAATAGCGGTATGACGATAAGCGTGTAATAGCGCAAGAGCACATAAAGGCATTATACGATCTACCTACGGTAACAAAGGGCAATCACACAGCGTTACGAAAATTACTTGATGACATGTTGCGACATTTGCTCTCTTTAAAGAGTTTAAGCAGGCCGACTGAGCATTGGGACGACCTTGTCGTTCATTTAGTTGTTACGAAACTGGATTCAAGCCTTGTTAGCGAATGGGAAAATCATATTCCAACGGACGAGATTCCAACTTTAAAGCAAATCACTGACTTTCTTGCTCACAAATGTAAAGCAATGTCAGTCTTAGCAAAAAAGGTATCCAGTGATACATCTGCGCCTAATCCACGCAAGAATAATAAATTCGCTAACGTTCATTTAACCACATCTATTATTTGCTGCGCTCATTGCAAAGGAAGGCATCATATATTTCAATATTTCTAGTTTTTTTAAAATTGTCGAGTGCGGATGGAAATAAGGAAGCGAGAACTAAAGGACTATGCCTTAATTGTCTGCGTTCCACCTCTCATCAAGCCAAGGGTTGCAAGTCGTCAACATTTCAAACATGCAACAAAAAGCATAATACGCTTCTTCATGTGCAGGAAAGACTCCAAAGGGATACCGAATCCACAAGTCAATCCCTCCAATCAAACAACACTAACACAGTAACTTTGAATCATCACATCACTCAAGATAAGTATTATCAGGTCATATTGTCAACTGCCGTCGTCAATGCTATTGACCAGAGCGGCAATTCACATACATATAGAGTACTGCTAGACTCGGGGTCCCAATCTAGTTTCATCATAGAGAAATTAGCAAGCAAATTAAATCTCACATCAAGGCAAATCAATATAGCTATAACAGGAATAAATAATTCACAGACGCATTCTTGTCATGTAGTTAATGTACGCATAAAGTCGCTTCATACGTCATTCTCACAAGAAGTCGAATGTTACATACTAAACGCCATTACGTAAATTTTTATAATAAATTTATAAATACAATACATTTATTTTTCAATGGAACTAGAAAAATTTTTTAAGCTGTTAAGATTTTGACAAAGTCTGTGACAACATGTCTATTGCAAATCAACATATTGTAACCAATCCTTATATCGATACTAAAAAGAACAAAATAATCAATAATATTTCGTCATTCTCACAAGAAGTCGAATGTTACATACTAAACGCCATTACGGAAAACTTACCTCGAACTCGCATAAATATCAACGATTTCAAAATTCCAAATAACATAACATTGGCCAATCCTCAGTTTCATATACCAAACGAAATAGATATGCTCATGGGTGCTGAATTGTTCTGGCAGTTATTATGTGTGGGGCAGATACAGAAACATAAAAATCAGCCCATCTTCCAGAAGACAGAACTAGGATGGATCGTCAGCGGTAAGGCTCATGAGAGTACACCCGCGAAATCTAAAATATGTAGTCTATCAATTAATCAACAAATTAATCAGACTCTCACCAAATTCTGGGAAATTGAATACATTATCAACGAGACCCCATTTAATCCCGAAGAAGAAGCTTACATGAATCACTTCACAAAGAATACAACAAGAAGTAAAGATGGGTGGTTTATAGTGCAAATGCCATTCAAAGAGGCAAAAATACAACAGCTTGGTGAATCTCGCAGCATAGCATTGAGCAGATTCCTGTCCATGGAACGTGAATTGAAAAAACAGCTAACCTTAAAGGAACAACACGTGCAATTCATGACGGAATATTCAAATTTAGGACATATGGTACGCATAACAGAGGAAGAAGCAGTGAAATGTACCCCACGTTATTACGTACCGCATCACGCAGTAGTAAAGAATAATAGCCTAACAACAAGATTACGCGTAGTATTTGATGCTTTCTGTAAGACTAGCACCGAAATATCATTGCACGACTGTCTTATGGTGGATCAACTATACAAGATCTCTTTTCAATTCTATTGCAATTCCGTACATTTAATCTTTTTTGGCAATAAGGACAATGATAGAACTGGCAAATCTAAATGCATCAAATTATCCAATAGGATCAACCACACTCATTAACGATTTCTACGTTGATGACCTATTATCTGGAGCCGATACTGAACTTGAGACAAAGCAACTTCGAGATGAAACTATTAAGATACTAGAACAAGGAGGACTTCAACTTATAAAATGGGCATCCAATTTTCCTGGCGCATTAAAGGGCATAGCGCACACCTACTTTAGCGAGCCCGTTCATTTCATCAACAAAGGTGAAGAAGTATCCACATTAGGAATGCAATGGAATATATGCAAATGATGAACTCCAGTATGATATCAACACATCAAGCGCTCGGAGAGTGACCAAAAGAGCTATGTTGTCGGCATCATCTAAAATATTTGATGCCTTAGGTCTGCTAGGGCCTATAACGCTCACCGCCAAGGTGTTGATTCAAAGAGTCTGGCAATTAAATCTAGCATGGGACGAAACGGTTCCTATGGACATACACACTACATGGTTACAGTACGAATCTCAGTTAAACATTATTCGCAGTTTTAGAATACCGAGGTATGTGGCATGCAAGGATGCTTCCAAAACACAGCTACATGGTTTTTCGGACGCGAGTGAGAAAGCGTATGGAGCTTGCGTGTACCTTAGAGTTACTTCTCCTCAAGGTCAAAATTTAGTACGACTGCTATGCTCGAAATCTCGCGTCGTCCCATTGAAAACAATTAGCCTACCACGACTAGAATTATGTGGAGTTCTGCTACTAGCGCAATTAATGAATAAGGTCTTGCAAGCATTACGTTTTAAATCAGAAAGTGTACATTATTGGACGGACTCAACCATAGTACTACACTGGATAAAGGCAACGGACAGAAAGTGGAATACATCCGGCTCGAAGGATCAATGTTTGTAATAATGATGACTCGCTATATTTAATACTGAGGACAAGATTGATAGAATTTTATTGCCTTCTCAACTCCTTTACAATCCTTTATATCTGAACTATTATTGCACACGTGCGTTTTCTAGGAGAGTCCTTGCAAGAAGAAGGAACACGGTACTCCTCGTTTCCTTTCAGGGCATCCAACTCTCGAGAGTAATTTGTCTCATTATTCTGAACATAAAAGTATTGGTAAGATTATCGAAAACTAAATATTTTACGAGATATTTTAATTTTTATATCAAAATATGTCAGATTAAAATATAATATAACTCAAAAAGTACTTAATGAAGAAATACTTTATTATAGTGTTTTGAAAAAACATTCTAGATAAAAACTCTCGAGATAAGCTACAAGAATATGCAATAAAAAGTAGGCGGTTCCATTTAAAAAATTGAAGGTGACCTTCACGTGACCTTCAAGCAACTATTCAAGGTCAAATTAATGACACCACACTTATGTCCCCCTTGAAATCATACAACTTTTGTCTGAAACATTTTTTTCTAAAATGCATTGTTTACGAGATATTCCACCTGTTACGTTTGAAATTTAACACCCTGTATATAATCTTACCGAGATAATGTAAGTTAATTATAATATCGTGTTCTCCAGAATTTGTTTGCATTAAAAAATGTAACGACAACCGAAAAAAAATTTGACAAAAATTAAAGTACAAGAATTTATATAATTTATGTAACCATAAAAAGACAATATTAATAATATTTATATTCTTGAAATACAAACGTTATTGAAATTTTAATTATAACAAATTCTTGAAAAGAAATGTCTGTGTTAAGGTAAAGTCATTTACTTAGAGAAGTTAAGTAACTTATCGTAAGAAAACCAAATCGTTAAACAAAATTGTTTCAACAATCGAAAAGAGCTATACTTTCATGTATTATTTGTTAAAAAAAACGGTTACAAATTCTTATTAACCCTCATTAAACTATTCTGCGTCACTTTGGGCTATTGCACACAAATTGATATAGCTGCATATACATAGCAGACCGTCTGGATCAACGAGCATCAAGCATTAAGCTACCATATTGATTTATATAACATATGTTTATTGATTCACATGGTCTTATTAATGTCTATATGATGCAGCGATATCAATTAGTGTGCGATAGTTCTTTCTCTTTGATATAAGAATCATGTTTGATAACCAGGAAGCGTCTTTAAAATCAAGAAAAACAGATTTTTTTTAAATGTAACTACACTGTATTTAACACATTATCAATCAAGCGAAGTATAAAAATGAAGATCAAGTCGATATGATTAAGCAAACAAAAATTTTCACGGCAATTTTAATTATTTGTACATATATTATTTATCATTAAAAGTATTGGAAGTAGCCGCGTTTTTAGGCCCAGCGATGCTTACCCAATTCTTGTTGTATGTTATATTTTATCAAGGATATTCCAGTATCCGAGAACAACGATTATCACATTTTACAAAACCTAGAATCGGACCGGAGTCATTCTGATAATGTGAATGTGAGAAACAAAATTGATGAGATTCCATTTGCAAATATGTCTATGATCCCAGAATCTATTGGTAAGTTGCAAAGAAATGCAAAAATCGTTAAAAAAAAGTCTACAAAAAAAAATAGTAAATATAATTTACATTTAAGAGAGAGAAACAGGGAATAAAAATAAAATCTAAAAAAAGATATTGTTATGTCCCTGCGTGCATACTTGTACGCGATCGCGTTGAAGGCGATCGGTCTGAAGCGAGATAGTCTCCATGAAGGAAGAGTAAGAAGAGTTATCTACCAACATTGGAAATGGTCACGAAAAATGTTCCGTATATGACCAGGTTTGCCAAATGGAATAACTTGGATCATTTCATAGCCATCTTGAATATTCGTACATATATAATGTTACGTTTAGTTGTGTTAGTGATTAGTAAGTGTGTTGGGTGACACACTACTTTTATACCATTTTCGATTGTTCCATCAGAGAATATCCTATGTATACAGGGGTGTCCAGTAAAGATTGTGCCAACGCTCGTGAGCGGGTAGAGCACAGTAAACTGAATAGAAAAGTCCTGTAACATTTTTTTCTATAACGCTTAATAAAGGAGTTATTATTGAGTAAAGTCTGCCAATCAGCTCCGACCTTTAGCCGCGCGCCTATAGTGTGCGTGAGCGCTCCGTCGCCACGGCGGCGCACACTACCAGGTGGGCGGCTCACCAATGTACGTCCGGCTAAAAGTCGGCGCTGATTGACCAGATTTTATTCAATAATATCTTCTTTATTAAGCGTTATAGAAAAAATGTTACAGGACTTTTTTGTTCAGTTTACTGTGCTCTAGCCGTTCACGAGAGTTGACACAATCTTTACCGGACACCCTGTAATACGAATATTCAAGATGGCGACGAAATGGTCTAAGTTATTCCATTTGGCAAACCTGACCACATAGGGAACATTTTTCGTAACCAACTTTTTTCCTCTCTACATTATCGAGATAACTCTCCTTACTCTTCCTTCATAATAATCTCCGATAGCGTTGTCATGTGATGTTGATAAACAGCGGCAGACATATTAGATTTTTGATAGCTGTCAAGCAGGGGTACGTTCCAAAACCCTACCTTGGTTACCATAGATCGTTCCAAAACTTTCGGTACAACTGTGCGGTAACCCTATATCACCGTTCCAAAACGCTCAGTTGTTCGATCATGAAAGTAACTTTTATGACCTTCCAAAATCGAGATGTTGTGATAGTTACCAAGGCAAAGCGCGGGAAAAATACAAAGATTGGGTCTACAATAGATGTAGTAAATTTCTAGCCTTCTGCTCTATGCCCTAAAATATGATATAATTTCCATTTAGAAATGTTTCCCGTACTGCCTGAAGCTCTAATCTCTAAGCTTTAAGCGAGCTGGCCAGATTCCAGCTCTTAAAGCTCATGATTTAAAACTTTCGATCGATATAATTCTATAAAGGCTAAAGATCTTACACCTATTGTATACCCAGTCTAAGCGAATTTCAATTAGTCTGAGGAATTTTTAGTATGTGTCTACTTAAGCAACATTAATTAATATTATTGAATAATAATATAATATAAAATATATAATTAATATAATATATTATAATATTATTATAAACATTTATAATATTATAATATTATAATAATAATATTGGCCTATTTTACACCGATATATACTTTAATACGTATTAAGTACTACACTTACCAGTCATAGCCATTCCTCTAAAGAATGAAATGGTTGTGATTGGTCGGTATAGTATTTAGTACGTATTTAAGTATATCGGTATAAATTAGGCCACTAACATGTCGTCAAACCTGTTCCAAAACAACTGCTACCCTAGTTTACCACATCCTCTCCATGTCTCTAACTTCCGAGATTAACTAAGAGTAAGTTTTGGAACGTACCCCAGTACGGTTGTGTTTTGGACAGCTTCGTCTTTTACGTTCGCATATCGTTACATTATGTTATTTTGTTGCTGCTTTAATAAAGTTATCATTATTTCTTAAGGAATCTTCCTAGTTTGACGCTCTGAAAATAAGACGATTTTTGACGAATTTTTTTAAAGAAAAATATAAAACATATTAATTTTAAACTTTGCACGTTTATTAATAACATTTTAAATATATCCTGAATTTTTTTCAAATAAAACTATTTGTTTATTTTGGAGTTATAGTAGTCCAACCAGGGTGTCTCAAAACAAAAATTGTTGTTTGTGGCGAATATGATTCCAATCATTATAGTCATCTGAAGCAAAAAAACCAAAAAGATTCTTAATCTATATAAGTGTGAACTAGAATTAAATCGATATTTGTAAAATTCGAATTTTGCCACTTACAAAACTAACCAATTTTTTGATGAAAAATGAATTTTTTTTTTTTAAGACGCGGCCACACTTATACAGATAAAGAATCTTTTTGGTTTTTTTATTTCAGATGACTATAACGATTGGAATCATATTCGCCACAAACAACAATTTTTGTTTTGAGACACCCTGGTTGGACTACTATAACTCCAAAATAAACAAATAGTTTTATTTGAAAAAAATTCAGGATATATTTAAAATGTTATTAATAAACGTGCAAAGTTTAAAATTAATATGTTTTATATTTTTCTTTAAAAAAATTCGTCAAAAATCGTCTTATTTTCAGAGCGTCAAACTAGGAAGATTCCTTAAGAAATAATGATAACTTTATTAAAGCAGCAACAAAATAACATAATGTAACGATATGCGAACGTAAAAGACGAAGCTGTCCAAAACACAACCGTACTGGGGTACGTTCCAAAACTTACTCTTAGTTAATCTCGGAAGTTAGAGACATGGAGAGGATGTGGTAAACTAGGGTAGCAGTTGTTTTGGAACAGGTTTGACGACATGTTAGTGGCCTAATTTATACCGATATACTTAAATACGTACTAAATACTATACCGACCAATCACAACCATTTCATTCTTTAGAGGAATGGCTATGACTGGTAAGTGTAGTACTTAATACGTATTAAAGTATATATCGGTGTAAAATAGGCCAATATTATTATTATAATATTATAATATTATAAATGTTTATAATAATATTATAATATATTATATTAATTATATATTTTATATTATATTATTATTCAATAATATTAATTAATGTTGCTTAAGTAGACACATACTAAAAATTCCTCAGACTAATTGAAATTCGCTTAGACTGGGTATACAATAGGTGTAAGATCTTTAGCCTTTATAGAATTATATCGATCGAAAGTTTTAAATCATGAGCTTTAAGAGCTGGAATCTGGCCAGCTCGCTTAAAGCTTAGAGATTAGAGCTTCAGGCAGTACGGGAAACATTTCTAAATGGAAATTATATCATATTTTAGGGCATAGAGCAGAAGGCTAGAAATTTACTACATCTATTGTAGACCCAATCTTTGTATTTTTCCCGCGCTTTGCCTTGGTAACTATCACAACCTCTCGATTTTGGAAGGTCATAAAAGTTACTTTCATGATCGAACAACTGAGCGTTTTGGAACGGTGATATAGGGTTACCGCACAGTTGTACCGAAAGTTTTGGAACGATCTATGGTAACCAAGGTAGGGTTTTGGAACGTACCCCTGCTTGACAGCTATCAAAAATCTAATATGTCTGCCGCTGTTTATCAACATCACATGACAACGCTATCGGAGATTATTATGAAGGAAGAGTAAGGAGAGTTATCTCGATAATGTAGAGAGGAAAAAAGTTGGTTACGAAAAATGTTCCCTATGTGGTCAGGTTTGCCAAATGGAATAACTTAGACCATTTCGTCGCCATCTTGAATATTCGTATTACAGGGTGTCCGGTAAAGATTGTGTCAACTCTCGTGAACGGCTAGAGCACAGTAAACTGAACAAAAAAGTCCTGTAACATTTTTTCTATAACGCTTAATAAAGAAGATATTATTGAATAAAATCTGGTCAATCAGCGCCGACTTTTAGCCGGACGTACATTGGTGAGCCGCCCACCTGGTAGTGTGCGCCGCCGTGGCGACGGAGCGCTCACGCACACTACAGGCGCGCGGCTAAAGGTCGGAGCTGATTGGCAGACTTTACTCAATAATAACTCCTTTATTAAGCGTTATAGAAAAAAATGTTACAGGACTTTTCTATTCAGTTTACTGTGCTCTACCCGCTCACGAGCGTTGGCACAATCTTTACTGGACTCCCCTGTATACATAGGATATTCTCTGATGGAACAATCGAAAATGGTATAAAAGTAGTGTGTCACCCAACACACTTACTAATCACTAACACAACTAAACGTAACATTATATATGTACGAATATTCAAGATGGCTATGAAATGATCCAAGTTATTCCATTTGGCAAACCTGGTCATATACGGAACATTTTTCGTGACCATTTCCAATGTTGGTAGATAACTCTTCTTACTCTTCCTTCATGGAGACTATCTCGCTTCAGACCGATCGCCTTCAACGCGATCGCGTACAAGTATGCACGCAGGGACATAACAATATCTTTTTTTAGATTTTATTTTTATTCCCTGTTTCTCTCTCTTAAATGTAAATTATATTTACTATTTTTTTTTGTAGACTTTTTTTTAACGATTTTTGCATTTCTTTGCAACTTACCAATAGATTCTGGGATCATAGACATATTTGCAAATGGAATCTCATCAATTTTGTTTCTCACATTCACATTATCAGAATGACTCCGGTCCGATTCTAGGTTTTGTAAAATGTGATAATCGTTGTTCTCGGATACTGGAATATCCTTGATAAAATATAACATACAACAAGAATTAGCATAAGCACCGCTGGGCCACGCGGCTACTTCCGGTATTTCTAATGATAAATAATATATGTACAAATAA